GAAACAGCATGAAAGCATTCACCCCACATGCATGAGTACAACCCTTCAAGCTGGTGGGGGCAGTGTTATGGTTTGGGGCATGTTTTCCTGGCATGATTTGGGCCCTTTAATTCATGTGGAACAATGTCTGAATAGCACAACATACCAAAGTATCATTGCTGATCAAGTTCATCCTATCATGTTGATGGTGTATCCCAATGGAGATGGTTTCTTCCAACAAGACAATGCGCCATGCCACGGTGCTCGTATTGTGCAGTAGTGGCTTCAAGAGCATGAGGGAGAATTTACCTTGCTTAGGTGGCCCCCACAATCACCAGATCTCAATCCAATTGAGCATTGGTGGGACGAAGTTGAAAGAGCCATCAGGCTCTCACAGAACAGGACAGTGCTATTCATCAGGCAGATTCCTTGCATCACTTTTCAACATCTCGTGGATGATCAATGCCAAGAAGCAGTATTGAAGGCAAAAGATGGCCCAACGAAGTACTGATGGGGTGGTCATAATAATCTGGCCACTCAGTGTATATTCCCTGTTATTTATAAGAGTCATGAAGTGAATGGCATCAGAAATACACAATGTTGACGTGCAGGTTCTTGCCTTATTCTTCTTTCCATACTTATAGCAATAAAATACAAATGCTTAAGTGTATTCAGAGCCCATTTTTTTAGTTTTGGATAGAGTAGGGAATGATTACAACCTCAAGTCAAGTTTTTATTGATGTCTGTGTCTGCTAGGGACATTCCCCTTCTTTATTTGTCCTGTTGAACATTGTCCCAGGGAATTCAATGGTGTGAATACAATTTCACAATCAAATTTTAAAAATTAAAAATTAAAATTGTAATTTGTCTTTGGAACAGGAATAGAGAGAAAATCTTCCAATGAGAACATTCGTTCACGTGACAATTGTCTAAGAGGAGCTGTCTCTCACTTTGGAGTGATTTCCTCTCACTTCCTGTTGTGTTAAGGCAACAGGAAGTGAAGAATGTAGTTGGCAAAAAAAAACAGATAGATGTAATCTATAACTATTCCCTAAACTAAGAAAAAAGTTTTGACATATGCTTTAATAAAGCACACTCACTAACCACAATTGTTATATCAACTGGATATCACATCTGTAAATGGACGTTAGTGTTGTCAAATAAAAACATAAATTGCCAATAAACCTGAACTTAAAAAATGAAGATTTGCTGGTATTTGTTGTTGTTTAAAACATTCAAAATAAGAAAGCACAGTACACTTTAGATAGTTATATTGTAAAACCAATATTTGGGTTTCTCTTCATAACCATCCAAAGCAACATAACTATGTAGAGATCATGAGAGACAGAGCACGTATTTATATAGTGCCAACACTTTTGATACTGTAAATTCATGTCAGTCCCTGCCCAGATGGAGGTCCCTATCTCATATGCATACACACAGGGCCAATTTAGACAGAAGCCAATTAACCTACCAGCATGTGGTAGGAAGAAATCCCACAGAAGCACAGGGAGAAAATGCAATTTCCATGCAGTTAGTGCCCTGCCTGGGATTTGAACCAGGGAAGTCCAGGTTGAAGTGCTAACTACTAAGCCACTGTGCTGCATAACCCTTAACATTACCTTAGGACCCAGTGCAGTTTCTACTTTTTTACTGAAAGACAGCTCAGTTGATTAAGCAGGATTCCCCATGCCTTGGGCTAAATTTCCATATCGAATCACTTCTTCTACACAAAATATTTTGGTCTTGTTCTGGAATATTAGGATATTTTGATACTGTGTAAATAACCTTACAGATTTACATGACTGTGCCTAATGGTAAATTTGTCCCTGCCTACGCCCTGTAATATCACTGTCCTAATAGGTTGCACTATAATAGGTCCTACCCTTGTAAGAGGTCCTCATTAAGTTTGGTCTTGGTCTCTCTCTAAGTTTGGTTTTGCTATCCAAAGCTTGGTAACAGAGGTCCTGTTCTCCGATTGGAGGTTGTTTATATCCCAATCAAATAAAAGGATGTCTGTGCCTGCTGGGTCAAAGTAATTTTGCTAAAGATGAAAAGAGGGGCTGATCTGTACTCCTGGAGCAAGAAAAAATAAAGCTGGCTATACATTTAAGCTGTCCATACACTATGCAAATTTTGCACAGTAGGTGCCCCTGTCAGCACCCTTTCACCTGGAATCCCTCAATCAGAAAATCAAAAGAGCTGGTTGGAAAATCTTTGGCTGAACGGTGCTTGTAGTCATCCAGTTGCCAGCCCCCCTCATGTATTTTGACAGTGGCCGATGCCACTGGTGGAATCCAAAGCACATTCATCTATCCACACTGTTTAACATAGATGGAAGAATCTGTTATATATAAAAAAAATTTTAGCCCACAGGTTTAAAAAAAAAAAAATCTAACAATGTATACTTTAGTTAATTTCATCAAGAGTCAGCTGAAATGCGCTCAGTTGGTGGCCTTGTTTCCTGACTCTGGCCTAACATGCTTCAATTGAAATATCGAAGAAGCTGGGTGCAAAATTGTCAGCTGAACAGTGTCTTTATTTAGTCAAATGCAGGCCCTGTTCAGAATACAGTAGGCTGTGCAGCCTAAAAGAAAAAAATGTATATCCTGTTGAGAAAAATAGATATATGAGACATTACTATAGATTGTATAAAGATTTTGGAAAGGAGTGCTTTATAACTGCAGAGTAACCTCTAATACGTGTACTTATCTTACCTATGGTAAAAAGGTTAAAGAAAACTGAATTGATGTTAATATATAGAGTAGTACTTCTGGTGTATCACTATCCTTATAAAAATATTGTATTACTAAGTTATGGTGACAGAGGTGTTACACAGAGTAGGCAAGATGATGATGCACAGGCTTCACCAGTGAACTAAGGCCCCCTTTTTAGGATAGCTATACACAGGGTGGACAGTACATTTGCTCCTTGCAGTGTGAATCTCACCTTTCATTCAGCTGATTGACCACATTTTCTGATGTTTACCCCTCACTGCTCATGATTCTTATATTACCCATCTTGTTATAGTTGAGTATAACTTGTTTAGCTTTAGTTATCAGTTTTATCTTAGATTTGTTTTGTTTTTTCTTATCTTGTCCATTAGACTCTTTCGTAGATTGGTACACATGCAAAGTACAATCTCCATATGGCATGTATATGCAAATGTTACCAACTGTCCAGTTTTACCTAGGGTAGGACCTGTGTCAGAGGGTTTGTGTAGATGGTGGAATGCAGCTTTCAGGTGCATCCCGCTTGTTTTTGAGATCAGTGTGAGATCATTCAGAATTCATTGACAGGTTCATTTGATCTGCAGTTGATCCCCTTCTGACCTTCTGCTGCATCGACCTGCTTCAAGCTGCTTTTCAATTCCCATTGACTTATGCGAGATGAAGTTGTGATAAGAACAAAAGCCCACCAACAAAGACCCTTAAATGATTCTGCTACCTGGTACAGTTTTAGGAGAATTATCCTGATTTAATTAGTGTTCGCTGAAAGACTTTCATTATGTGCAGTCATTTCACCACAGATAACATGGTGATATCATATGCTAGTGGTCCTTGTAACAGGAATGAGGAAAAAACTTTAACAAAGACTCAAACAACAATAAATGATAACCTTCCCTCACTATACGAAAAAAAGTATTTCTTAAGTTTTATATGTGTTACTATTGACGTACCCTGTTGATGAGCCCCAGACTCAGTAAAAACCTAACATGGATGCTAACTCCTTCTCATTCTAAAACTAAAAAACTGTTTGGCTGGGTGTACCCTTTCAAATCTAGATGTTATAGTATAGTTGCATGGTCAGTATGGTTTAGGGTTATTCTTGTGTTTCATAAGAAATAAGAGAGGTCAAATTCTATATATTTTCCCTGTGTATTGAATCAAGAGTCTGTTCTTGCAACCCCAGCTTGTACCAATGTGTCAAGGGCACTGTATACATATTCTGAGATCGGAAAACTCCTAAACATTTACTGTATATCATACTCTATAAGAAAAAATTCATGTAAAAAGTGAAACAAAGGAAAGAATGTAACAATCCAATGTAAAGCATATTTAGTTAAATTGAGTCTGTTCAGGCATTGGGTAAATGCTAAAGTGCTGTGATAGGTCCACTTTACCGTGTCATTCTGACATTTTCCTGCTAAAAACATGCACATGGTTTGCAACACATCAGAATCCACTTTGCTCCACATTTAGAAGGAGCTCTAAAGCATGCAATCTTACCATTATACATTAGCACAGCAGCAGCAGCAGATTATCATGCAAAGTATCATTGTAACACGGCTACAAGACTTTACAAAGTGAAGAATTGCATTGTGGGATTTGATGGTTGTCATTTCGCTCTCTTTTTGAAGTTATTATCCTCAATAAGATGGCATAAAAAGTCTACAACCTGACAATGATCGAGTATGCAGCTAGAGAGTATTATTATTATTATATATTATATATTTTTATGTGTTATACCTTGGGTAGCAAATGTAGGCCCCTTTCACACCTGATCCTGATCACAGCAGTATGGAGCAGATATCCCTGCTGTGACATCCGTCCCCGTACAGTTTTTTCCTCCATCTTGCAATGGGGGAGAAAACTGAAACTCCACATGGACCTCATGTGTGTCTATGGAGAATCGTAAGTAAATGGACATGTGTCCGTTTACATCAGATTACCCCCAATCCGGTCCAGCAAAATGGATCTCTGATCTCCAGACCAGCCGGAGCTGGGGCTAACCGGGTGTAAATGGACGCTGATCCGTTTACACACGGCTGCCCATAGACTTGCATAGAGCCTTCAATCGAGAGCAGCTGAAAAACTGACAGACGGACCCAATCAGACCGCTCATTTGAAAGGGGCCTTAGAGTTTTTACTTTCAGTAGCCTTGCATAAACAGCTGTGATGACATGTTTGCTATTTTTTGTGTTTAGCAGCAAATGAAATAGAGATGACAGTGTACTAATATGTTCAGTTCTGTCAAAAGTGCATTTTGTGTTCAATTATATTGTTCTTTTTTTTTTGTAGAGAGCTTTCAGATCTTCGATGAGCAGAAGAGCGTATGTATTGTTGGGGCTAAAGTTGTGAGTGTGGGAAGATGCAATGTAACAATCCGCAGCCAGCAATGGAAATGGACAGAAGATGGGAAACTACTACACGTGAAAACTTCCAAGTGTCTGAGTGTTTCTTCATCTTCACCGTCACATTCTCGTCCAGCTATCCTTATAGACTGCGCAAAGGCACCTGTGTGGATATGTCATGAAAATGAAGGCCTTCTTGAGGTTGCAAACACCTCTTTATTCCTTAGAAAACAAGGGACAAAGGTTGTAGTTAAAATGAAACACCCTAACACCTGGAAAAGGCTTGAAATGGATGAAAAGGGGAACCTGGCAAATAAAAATATATGTCTAGAAAAAGGTAAGTTGAATAATAGTTATCATGGAGCGAGCTTTCTGATTGGACTATGAAGGCAACACCAAGGGCTAAATTTATAAATCTTCTGCCCCCCATATAGCCATAGATGGAGCTGAGGAGTAATTCCTATACTCGTCAGCACCATCTAGGAGTGTTAGTGCCATGCGAATGGCATTTGCCCTGCGTATAAGTATTATAAATGAAGGGCCAAGTATTTACGTTATAAGGGCTCACCACAGAACCAAAAGCAATATTCAACATGTAGGAAGGCTCTATTCACACCCATGCCTTTTGGTGTGCTGCGCTGTGCTTTTTTATGTGTTTAAATGTATCCTTAAGTAACTCATTTTGCTGGAAACGCCACAAATTGGGCCTGATTTACTAAAGCAATAAATGAGAACGAAGATAAATTGTTATGGTTTGTTTAGATCACAGGCCCACATGTGTGTACGGCATGGTAACAGTTTGCTGTGCATGTTGAATAAAATATATGTAAAAAATGTATCTCTTCTCAGATATGTTACATGGTCTGATCAGTCATCAGAACTTTATTCCCTTGAAGAATTTTTAATAGATGTCTATGGCTGGAGTTCCTCATTGGAAAAAAAGTATTTTATTTTCTACACTTTTTTTTGTTTAATATACACTGAGTGGCCAGATTATTATGACCACCCCATCAGTACTTCGTTGGGCCACGAGATGACTTCGTTGGGCCGCCTCGTGACTCCACGAGATGTTGAAAGGTGATGCGATGAATCTGACACTGCACTGTTGCCCTTCTGTTGGCTTGTACCAGTCTTTCCACTCTCCGTTCTGCCCTAACATTGACTAGTCGCTGACGGCAACAATTCGAACGTTCAGACCCAGATTTTTGGCTGACAGTCCAGTCTTTAAACACTTTAACAATGAGCCCCTCTTGAACATTTAACAAATTCTGCTGTTTTGCTGATACTCGCTCCATGGCTCGAGCCAACAATCATCCCACGTTCAAAGGCTGTTAAATCGCGTTGTTTACCCATATCTTCAGAAAAGAAATCACTTCTACTGTCGTGGTAAACAACCTGCTTCCCTATTTATAATGGTCTGGCCCTCTAGCAACTTCAGCGCAAAATTATAGCTAAATATAGCTAATTTGCCTACAAACGTCAGGTGGTCATAATAAACTGGCCACTCTGTATTTTATATTGAGCTTTTAAATGTAACAAATGCAACAGGTACAGACTTTGCCCAATATTACAAAGAAAATGCAAAATGCAAAACATTAAAAAGATAAAGAAAAAAGTGAGATTTACAACATTATTTAAAACAATGCCTTGGGTGCATGATCCTTAATATTAATTACATAGTACAACATTTTTTTTAATATTCTGCTGACTTAAAGGAAACTTGAGCTGAGTGAAATATTGAGGCTGCCATTGTTAATTTATTTCTAAAAAGGAAATTTCCTGGCTGACTCTGACTTCAATACTTTGAGTCATTGACCTGAAATAAGTACATAGCCCATGAATTCAGATTAAATTCAGAATTCCTGGTCTCCATACTTGCTCAGAGCCTATAATTTGCCATTTCTAATAAAAAAGCAAAACAAAGTCAAAGATAGCCTTCTATATTCATCATTTTACTGTTGATCCTTCTGCCTGTTATAAAGCTCTGCTTAGAGACAAAGCTGGAGCTTTCAGCCATAAAATAAATATATCTCATATGGAGAATCCTCATAATATTGCAGCGTTAGATTGTGCAAGATCCAGTTCCTATATTCCAATTTTTTCATGAACTAAATATTAGGATAATTGTATTGTAATAGGATAGAAATTCTGTTTTGGGGACATGTATTCTCAGAATACATGTCCCCAAAGAAGAATACTATTCTGCCCTAGGGACATGTGTCCTGCTTTGGGGACATGTATTCTCAGAATACATGTCCCCAAAGCAGAATGCTATTCTGCCTTAGGGACATGTATCCTGCTTTGTGGACATGTATTGTTAGAATACATGTCCCCAAAGCAGAATACTATTCTGCCTTAGGGCCATGTGTTCTGCTGTGGGGACATGTGTTCTGCTGTGGGGACATGTGTTCGGCTTTGGGGGCATGTGTTCTGCTGTGGGGACATGTGTTCAGTTCTGGTGACACCCGTATTGAGCCCTGGTGGGAAACTGCCCCAAAATCATCAGTCTGTGTTGTTTTAGAAAAAAATGTCACATGTCCCTTTAAGAAAAAGTATCGGTAATTGGTATCGGCAAGTACATGAGGGACAGTACTTGTACTTGTACTTGGTCCTAAAAAAGTGGTATCGGGACATCCCTACTTAAATGCATTTTAAGGTTTAACATTTTTAGTCATTTTTGTCCTCTTAATAATGCAATCCATAAAACCTGCCCTAGCAAAAGTATTTTTTTCAATGATTTGATATTATATTCTTTCTAAATGTAATTAAATAATATTTTTAAATAAACTTACGTTTAAATGAAATTTAAAACTATGTGGCATAATGACAGGGAAGTCCACCTTGCATGTTAAATATAATACACTCCTTTCTTTTTAATGAGACACTACAAAAAAGGTTTGACTGTCTTCCAAATGTGTATGTGCCAAATGTTCGTGCAGCACTTGGCACATTGAGTTTCCTATGGAAGGAAAGGCAGGTCCTTTCAGCACACTTGCTTAGTGTTACGGTACTTGACTGTGATTCGCACTGTTCAAGGACGTATTTATTCAAAGGCCAAGCAAGTGCTGAAAGAAATCTGTCATTAATATGACACAGACATACTTTATATCAAAGGTACATAATAAAATGAAACTTAGCATAACATACAGAGCTAAAGATAATCAAGGGGAGTGTTTTATTTAGGGGTCTATTCACAAAGCTGCCGAAGGATCTAGCCATAGCTTCGGCTGATCCTTCGGCTAGCTTCGGCCCCAGGACCCCTTCGGTTTAGTAGAACCGAACAGCTGCTGTACGGGCTATTCACAATGGCCGGCTGTTCGGCCAGCTTCGGCTTTCACCTCGGCTATTGCAGAGACAGATTAGCGTCCCTGGTTACCTGGTAACCAGGGACGCTGATTTGTCATTACTCTCCCGGATGATCTGGGAGTCTCCCGCTATTAGATTGCGGCTCACGGCCGCCCGGAAGAGAAACACTTTCTCCGGAAACGTTTACTCTGCTCGATCGAGCAGAGTAAACCTTTCCTTGCGATCTGTTTTCTTTTTTTTTCTGACATGGGGCCGCCATCAGTCAGGAAAACAAAAAGCTAGCATAGGAATGCATAGCTAGATTCCTATTGGCTATTTCACTTTGTAATAGCCAGTAGCAAACTAGCTATTGCACCCGCCCATTGCTGCTGTCAATCAGCAGCGCAGGACCTGAAGTTCTCCATCAGGTCCCCTTCTAGTGATTGACAGCAGGAGAGGGCGGGTGCAATATCTAGTTTGCTATTGGCTATTGCAAAGTGAAATAGCCAATAGGAATCAAGCTATGCATTCCTATGGTGTTTTTTTTTTATTATTCTGACGGCAGCAGAACCGCCCGGCCAATAGAAAACAGTTGGATGGAGCTAGCTGTCACTGCTAGCTCCACACAATCGTTTTCTATTTATTTTACTACTTTTTAAACAATTTTTCTAGTTACCGAGCACAATAGACGAATTGCAGAATAGCCGAGCCGAATGCCGCTCGGTGGCATTTGGCTATTCACTCACTGCTGTTCGGCATCTATGAGAATAGGCTGAACAGCAGCGAGCAGTCTGCCGGAGGTTCGGCTCAGCCGATCCAGATGTTGGATCGGCTGAGTCGAATTCCTTCTGCACTTCGGGTCGGCCGAACAGCGGAGCTTGTTTGGCCGACCCGAAGCCAGCTGAAGCCACCCGATATACGGCTGATTTCAGCCGATATACGGCTGAAATCAGCCGTACAAGCCTGAAGTAAATAGCTGAACAGCGTTAGGCTCACTTCACTTCGGGTCGCTTATTCACTCGGCTGCCTATGGCAATTTTGTGAATAGACCCCGTAATGTTTTATGGGTTCAACATCATCTGCGGCATCATGGCATTTATCGAAAGAAAAATGTTTGCTTTCTTAAAATCTACGACCATCGTCTATGTTTAATTGCAGATGTCCGTTGTGTATTCTCCTGTCTGTATTCTTGTAACCATAAATTCCATTGCGGTAGTTTTACTCTTTTCCTTATGCTTCTGGCACACATGCCCAAGTGACCAGTACTGACTGACCTTATTTAGAAAAAAAGGGCTTCATGATCAACTTCCCACCCTCACCCCCACTCTGCATTCTAGGTTTCAATGAAACAATAACACAATCTGCAGGCATTGCCAATCTCCTATACATTTCAGGAAATAATAATATTAGAAAAAGCAACAAATACCCTCTAAATGGAGTTACCCACTTGTTGCCCTCTTTCTATAAATAAATAATTATATTAAATTTACTCATTATTTCTAGGGAGCTAAAATAACAAAGTTATATTTGCCAAGACCATTCAGCAAGTCTCCTCTTCTGCTCCAGCGACAGAATGTCCTTCGATGTCCTTATGTTCTATACACTGTGTAGGACGTGATGACTCACTGGACCATAGACTGCTGGAGCGGAGGAGGAGAGAGGCTGAAGGAACTGGTCTAAGAGCCAACCGGGATCATGGTTCGGGTGAGCATATATTGTTATTTTAGCTCCCTAGACAAAAGAAACACTTAACCCTTGCAGTGTGGGAGTAGTCCCACTGCAAGGGTTAAGATTTGATTTGCCCGGAGGCCTGCTTTAACAAATTACTATCATTTCAAAAGTTACGTTCAATATTTTGAAATCTATAGCTTTAACTAAAGAAAAACCCTGGTGATCATGCTATAAAAGTCATTGTTTAGGACCTTCCTGTTATAGAGCAACGTTCTGTTGCTGTCTCCCACTTGCTATTCTGACTTGTCATCCTGTCACGTGGACTTCCAGTGAAGGTTCCAAGTGGCCATGCCACTGTTCATTCTGACCTTGTCTCCATCATGAAGCCCACCTAGAACAATGACATCCAGCTGCTGTTGCAACACATTGATGTATAAAGGAAAATGATGATAATTGTTTAGAATACACAGTGCTTTGGCAAACAATATATAATTCAGTTAGGTTTTAGATCTGTTTTAATAAAGAGTGCAAAGAGCCGAGCACTAATTACAAATTGCAGGAATCATAGCAACTCATGAGAATTCTGTTTACTTGAACTACAAGGTGGACCAGCTGTGGGTGGTTTCTGACTGGTCCACCCTTACAGCCCAGGAAATATTTTGCTATCCTTAGAAGTTGCAGAGGGCAAGCTATTGTTTCAGTACATATACCAAACACACAAAAATAGTGTAGCACTTAAAACAATTACAAAGTGTAAAAAAACTCCTCTACTAATACTGTGACATTTGCTTTAAATAACACAGTCTCATTAAAGCATACCTTTACCCCCTTTCAATAAAAATCACAGCAGCATGCAGTTCTACACGCTGATTTAAAATCATTTTACATTCATTAGTTAAACTTGTTTTTCATTTACTTACAAACAGAGTTCATCCACTTCCTGGTCCAGTTCTGGCACAATGATGTAATGTGCCAAAGCGTTGCATCCTGGGAAGGTTACACCAGCCGAGCATTGCTGGGAAATCTCATCTGTAATCTCATGAGATCCTAGGGAAAGGCATTTCCTCCCCTGAGATGATGCACATGGCCAATGAATGAAGTGGCGACATCTACCATATAGGGACACCGACCAAAATAACAATTTTACAGATATTTTAATACTTTCACACATATTCTTATGTTCCTTATAGAAATAAACAAATTGTCTGAAGTTGGGTTACACATTACACCATCTAATACAATAAAGATACACAATAAAGATACACAACAGGGGCGTCCCGAGGCTGGGTGACACCCGGAGCGGTATACTGCCGGGTCCCCTCCTCTCTCCTGATACTGTCGGGCGTTCAGTCCTTGACCGAGCGCCCGACTTTTCAGAGGGGGGTGACACCAAAATGACTGAGAGTCATTTTGGTGTCACCCCTCCAATGGTGTCACCCGGGTGCGGGCCGCACCCCCCGCACCCCCCTTGTGACGCCACTGATACACAATATCATTATGCCACCTCTACATTGCATAAACACTGTATATATAAATACCTATATAAATAAACAAATAAATAAACATATAGATAAATAATCCCATAAATAAATACACAATCACTGCTTGTTTTACTTCTGCAATGTTTTTTTCTAAAAAGCAATGCACGTTCCTTTAATTATAGATGTGAAGCATACTACAGTGAGTCCTACAACTGCAAGTACTCTACTCTCCACCACTGAACCACCAGTTCCAGTTACCACTATCACTGAGATAAACTACACTAATGTTACACATATAACTCTGGACACCAGCACTCCGAGCCAGCAGCAGAATGAAAGTCTCATATCTACAGAAAATTACTTGTCTACTGTCACTGCACAAGAATGGAATGCAACAACATCACAACCTTATATTAATGCAATTATAGAGGTAAGATTACTTTTGGTTTCATTACTACTATTATTTATTTTTTGTATTTATTTATCTTTTTCACACATTTTACTACAAAATCAGCTCTATAAATCTCTGTTCTATGTACCAACTAACAATGGCTCAGAATTCTTAAAAAACACAGATTTTTATGATGTATGGCTATTTCTTCTAGACAGTATTAAGTATTCAGTACCTCCCACCTATTCCTATTTTAGTGATACACTCAGAATGTTTGGACCCTGAAAGGGTCTTAAAGAGTTTTTTAAATAGAACATAAATTAGCAGA